CTGAAGTCAGGAGGACCTGAGTTCAAATCTGGCCTCAGACCAAACACTTGCCACTGGCTAGCTGTGTGACCCTGGGCAAGTCACTTAACTCCAATTGCCAAAAAAAGAAAAAAAGAAGGCGCGTCTCCTATTCTATCCCTGGCAGGTGGTCATCTAGTCTTTGCTTAAGCATCTCCATTGATGGAAACTTGATGCTTTACAAGGCAGTCTATTCTGTTTCCAAAAGTCCAGAAACTTCTTCCCTATATTGAGCCAAAAACTACCTTTCTATGACTTCCATCCATTGTTCCATCTTCTGGAATGAGACAGTTTACGTGGAATAAGTCCAATTCCTCTTCCAAAGGACAGCCCTTAAAATATTTGAATGCAGTGATTATATTATCAACCCTCTGCCCATCTCTATCCCCCACCAGTCTATCATGGATAGATCTTTGCACTTGGAGTCAAGAAGACCTGGATTCAGACTCTACCCCAGGCACATACTAGCTATTTGATCTTGGCTAAGTCACTTAACCTCTTTAGGCCTCAGTTTCCTCATCTGTAAAATGAGGATGTTGTACTTGATGACCTCTCATGACCCTAATAGCTTTAAACCTATAATTGTTCCTCATAACATGTGGATGCAAGCATGCTTTTCCTGAGAGATTCCATTTTCTAAGTGTCCTGCATAAAATGTGCCACTCAGGCATAGATGTACTGAATGCAGCATCCCAGATGTGATGTGACTAGCACAGCGTACATAAAGGACTGTCACCCTCATATGCCTCTCTTCAAGCACATCAGGCAGCTAGCTGTGTGGCCCAGTGGATAGAGCGCTGTAGACTGAATTCAAATTTGGCCTCAGACACTGACTCTCTAGGTGACCCTGGGCAAGTCACTTAATTTCTGTTTGCCTCAGTTTCCTCATCTGTAAAGTAGAGATGATAATAGTACCTACCTCCCAGGGTTGTTGTGAGGATCAAATTAGATTTGATCACATTTAATTGTAAAGCACTTAGCACAGTGCCTGGCACATAGTGGGGGTTACATAAATGATAACTGTTATTATTATGAAGCCTAAAGTCTCATTAGCCTTTTCAGTAGTCACATTACACTGTTGCCTCCAATTGGGATCAATTATATTTTAGAAGATTCTTCAGTATGAAGCTCTTGGCCACAACTCTGAGATCATGTTCAGACAGGAGGGAAACCCAAAAGGAGTTTCCATTTGCCTCTGACCTTCATATGATTTTTAGAAAAGTGTTTAACTCCACATCTATTGCTTTATTCCTAGACAGGGTTCATTGCCACCAAGCTGAGAAGGCCTCCGGCCAAGGGAGATGCCTTCCCCAAGTCAGACCCAGCAAATTACTGGGTCACTAGGCCAAGTGTGGAGACACTGGGAGAGGCCATTTACCCCACAGCACTCTGGGTCACTGCCCTCCTTCTCTGATGAGTGGCAATCAGTCAATCAACATCTATTAAGAGCCTACACTGTATGAGGCACTAGAGATGCAAATACAAAGGTGGGAAGGCTCTGCCTTCAAGGAGCTTACTTTCTTCTGTGGGAGGGTAAGAGTCATCATAGATTCACAGAATACAAGATTTATGCCTAGTCACTATGTGGTGGGATTTTGTTTATTTTTGGTGGGAGATTAATGACTGGGAGAATAAGGAAAGTCCTCTTCATGCTAGTGTAGATTGTACAATCATAGATCTAAAACAGGAAGGGACCTCAGGGGTCATCTAGTACAATTCCCTCGTTTTACAGGTGAAAAAATGGAGAGAGAAGTGATTTGCTCAAGGTCATAGAGTCATAAGAAGCAGAGCTGACATTTGAACGCTGGTCCCAGGATTCTAATTCCAACACTCTTTCCACTGCCGTGTTGCCTCTCACAATGCCTCTTGAAGGAGGCAGCAATTAAACTGAGTCTCAAAGGGAGTGAGGGGTTCCCAGAAGTAGAGGTGAGGAGGGGGAGCACTCTTGATACAGGGAAAGACCTGAACAGAGGCGCAGAGGTGGAAGATAGAATATTTGAGATGGGGGACCACAAGAGGCAAGTTTGACAGGACCCTCGAGTATATGAGAGGGAGTAAGGTGTGGTCAGCCTGGAAAGGTAGGCTGGAGCGAGTGTGGACGTCTTCAAATGTCAAACTGAGGAGATTGTTTCTGATCGTAGAAGTAAATCCTGGAAATAATAGGACTGCAGCTTCTTGAGCAGGAAGTGGCATCTACTTAGCTGTTGGGGGGAGGATGGACGGGAAAGGGGAGAGATGTTGAGGCCGAGTGACCGGGTACGAGATTATTGCAATAGGAGAGAGGAGAGAGGTGATGGAGGACTGAACGAGGGTGTAGTTACGGAATGGAGAAAAGGGGATGTATTTGAGAGACGCTGAAAGGTAGACTTGACAAGACGTGGCTCTTGATTGGACATGGGGGTGGGGAGGAGAGTGAAGCGTCAAAGATGATTCAAAGGTAGCGAAACTGGGTGATGAGAAGGATCGTGGTGCCTTCGACAGAAAGAAAGCCATTTGAAAGAACAGCCCTTCTTCTTTCATTGTCCAGAGAGCCAGGCCTCAGTTTCCTAGCTGATGCTAGAGCAAATAGGAGAGACTCGTCGCTATGGGGGAGCCAAGTTCTTCTTTCCCTGAAGAGCGTATTCTGGGATCCCAGCCAAGAGCTAGAGGAAGTCTATTACTGCGCCTCTGATAAACTCAGATTTTTCTCTGTTGGGCTCAGTGTCAATCAATCCTGTCTTTTCTGTTTACTCCCGAAGGACGTGTCCCCCCCTTCTCTTCCCTTAATTGTTTGTTGTTCTCTCTGGGATGGGAAGCATGTGGCCACAGCTGTTTTGACTTACAAGGCAAAGAGCTGGTCTGGAGAAGAGGATGGGGAGGTGGAGAGGGCCCAAAGGTTCCCCTTCTAGTCCTCCTGCCTCCTCTCACCGTTCTTATCTTCAGAACTGACACCCTGTATCTTTCAGCCTCCTCCCAGCCAACCCAGGCTCTGTGCTCTTGGTTCTGCAGGGAATGGTTCCCAAGAGCAGCAGCCCTTCGTGCCTCCCCCACCCTCCACCCATCGGTTCTTTCGGTAGCCCCAGTGGGAGATCGTCTCCTGGTTCTGCTGCTTCTGTGTTGGCCTCTTTCCCATCTACTTGTCCTGATCTGTCAGCATGACCAGATGGAGGCCCCATCCAGATCAACTCTTCATTTCGTTTTGGGGGGTTGGGGGCATTCACCATTGCCCGGCTCTGCTTCCCAGGGCCTTCAGTGAAATGTGGTTTGTTCTAGGATCGGCACAATGATTGGATTGGAGTTTCTATCCATTTCCCAATCCTCCCTCCCTGTGTTCCCCTAGTCCAGTGAATAAGCCATCAGTCACCTGTCCTTGACGATTTACCTAGGAGCTGGATTCCCAGCTAGACTGTGTTGTTGCCTTAATCCCAAGATGTTTTCACCATCTCTGTATGCAGCTGGAGAAGTCATAAGATCATGGAATTCACAGCGGGAAGGAACATTAGAGATTATCGAAAACAGCCCCTTCCTTTGACAGATTGGGAAACTCAAGCACAGAGAGTGTAACTTGGCCTGGGTTGTACAAGTAGTTAACAGTGCAAGGACTAGAACCCAGTTTTCTCCAACTCCAAATCCAATGATCTCTGCACTCCTTTACACTGCCCCGGCTCTGCCCATCTGGCTAGACCAGATCTGTCTAACTCTCATGCCAGGTATACAGACAGATCGCCTCTCCCATGACCCTCCAACAGAGCCTGCTTTTCCTGTTGTTGTTTTTGGGTTTATTTGGTTTTTTTTTTGTTGTCAGCCTGTGCTTGGGCTTCCATCTCTTCATCCCCCCAATTACAGAGGGGTACACATGTGCTTCTGTTCCTCTTGTGTTATCTGGTATCTCTTCTACAACCATCTGCTTTTAAGAGGGCAGGGGACCCTGGGCAGATGGTCACTGTTCCTTTGCCAGAGTGGCAAGGGGGAATGAATGCTGAGGCAAAGTATTACTTCCCCAGCAGGAACAAAAGCTTCTGCTAGCAGGATCAGGGTGGGGAGGACTGCAGTAAGGAGGCTGGGGGTAATCAGCAAAGTCAGGCATAGGCATCAGGGGGATTTCCACCTTTCACAGCCACACCTCCATTCAGGCCTCCATCCCCTCTTTCCTAGACTATTGCAATAGCCTCCTAATGTTTCTCTGTGCCCCAAGTCTCTGCCCTTCCCAGTTCATCCTCTATGCAAATGCCAAGCTGATTTTTCTAAAGTGTAGGTATAACCATATTTAATTCCACACACACACACACACACACACACACACACCCAAGGAGCTTCAATAGCTTCCAATCAATTACCTCCATGATCAATTGTAAACTCCTCTATTGGCTTTTAAAGCCCTTCACAAGCTGGCCCCAGCCTCCTTTTGCACTTTTCCATTCTTTTTATTCCTGACTCCCCTCTACAAACTCAACATTTAGCTACACTGGCCAATTCTCAGTTCTTCAAACATGACATTCCATCTCCTGGGAACCTCTCCGCCTTTGCATTGGCTGTCCTCCATACGTGGAATGCTCTGCCCCCTTAGCTTCATCCCCTAGCTTCCCTCGTTTTCCTCAATTTTCAGCCCAAAGCCCATCTTCTGCAAGAGACCTTTCCTGGTCCCCCAAACTGCTTATACCTTCCCCTTTTAGATGATCTTCTACCTACTCTGTATATGTCTGGACGTACCCAGATAACTACAAATTATTTCCCCCCCTAGAATGTACACTGTGAGAGAAGGAACTGTTGTGTGTCTTTGCAGAGAAGGCCAGAGAGCTGGCCCCATGCTTATTCTGGGAAAAAACCATGGAGTGGGAGTTGGAGGGAGTAGGGAAAGTATGGGCTGGGAGGGAGTGTAGGGGCCAGGTTGTGGGTTGGGGTGGAAGCTGGGGGCGGGTAGCACTGCTCCAGGCCTCCCCCTGTTTATGGCCCAAGGGAGACCCCTGCTGTTCACACTGCTCTTCTGACCATCCTCTCTTCAGGGGCCCCGAGGACCAGATGGACCAGCAGGGGAGCCAGGGTCACAAGGTGTCAAGGTATGTGCTCTCCCCAAAATGTATGCTTTCCTGCCCAGAGATAGACCGTCCCTTTTTCCTGGCTGGATTCAGGGGGATGGGAGCATGATTTTCCAACAGCTGAGTCCTGTTAAATCCCTCTGCACTGGTCACCCCCTAAGCAGAGTCAGTATTCCTGTCCAGGGCAGTAGCTGAGCTCCAGATCTGGCCAGGGACACACACACAAAGCCCTTCCAGAATTCTTGGATTGGAAAGGAAGTTGAAAAAAGTTATCCTATCCACCCTTATCTCCACTCCTCTTCCATAGGCAAGACTGCCCTCAAACCCCATGAGCAGAGACTTGGCCAGTTCCAACAAGACCGTGCCGGAGAGTCGGGTGGGGAACCTAGGCCCTCAAGGCCACATGTGGCCCTCTAGGTCCTCAAGTGCGGCCCTTTGACTGAATCCAAACTTCACAGAACAAATCCTCTTAATAAAAAGATTTGTTCTGTAAAACTTGGACTCGGTCAAAAGGCCACACCCAAGGACCTAGAAGGCTACACCCAAGGACCTAGAAGGCTACATGTGACCTCAAGGCCACTGGTTCCCCACCCCGGGTTAGACTCTCACATACTCACACACAGCTTTGCTGACTGTAGGGATTGGGGAGGGGGTGTGGAGGGCAAGGGCACAAAATGATCTGTGGGCAGCTTGGTGCTCTTCCCATGATTAGGAGTACATCCATGAGCAAGTTTCTTCTCCTTTACCAGCCTCAGTTTCCTCCTTTGTAAGAGGAAGGGGGTGGACTTTAAATTCACTTCCAGCTCTAGCAGCCTCTAATTCTGAGACCCAGTCCACTTGCCAGAGAAGGTTTGGAGTGGAGAGGGATGAGGAATGATGACCCTCTCCCCTACCTCAGACTCTAGGCCTTCTGAGCCAGGTAGCTACGCCTGGTCCAGTGGCTCCAAAGAGCAAGGACCTCCAGAGCTATCAACACAAACTGACCCCTTGCAATGCCAAAGCCCGCCTCTCTGTTATTTGCTCTCCTCCTCAGGGCCCTCCAGGAACACAGGGCAAACAGGGCCTGGATGGACAGCAGGTATGTCAGCAATTTCCCTGGAGCCAAGGGCATGGTGCCAGACTGGCCCCCTGCCAATCTCCCATCCCCCCCCCCCCCCACTAGACACACACTCCCTTCACTGTGAGACATGCCTTTGATGGACTTTCCTGACACAGGAGCGTGAGGAATTGGGACCCTGATTCTCAGCCTCTAATTACTCCAAATATGTTTATAGGGCCAGGAAGGCGAAAGAGGGGAGATGGGGCCTCGTGGCTTCCCGGTAAGTGTTAAACACTGGTGGCTTTCTTTTTCTTTTTGTGAAATAAGCAAATGAGCAAGGGGGAAGGAGGTAGCAGAGGGAATGACTTCAAAGATATATTTGCTGGCGAGGCTTAGTTTGGCTTCATTCAGTTCCAGGACATGTCTTTGTCACTTTCCTCCAGAGTGACTGAGACCAAGGAGGTGGGCGGGAGGCAGGAGAAAGGTGGTGGTGACTAGAGCAAAAATAATTCCAGGATCTGATCCCTGCAGGGAATCCCGGGTCCTTCCGGCCCTCCAGGGGCTAAAGGCATTCCAGGAGAACCGGTAAGTATCTTTCCCTATTCTCTTCCTCTCGTCTTCATGTTTGTTTTTTTTTTTTTTTTTTCACTCTTCGTCAAGCTCATAGGAGCATCCAGGACCAGAGAACTTGGCCAGTCCTAGGGTGGATGCAGTGGTGGGGAGGGTGGGCAGCGGGGTAAGGGGGTGATTCCTGTCCTGCCAATATAATGCATAATCTTGAAGGATGTGGGGAGAGGAAACGTGTGGATGCTGTAGGAAAGACCAAGAGTGCTGTCTGCAGGGAGGGACAGGAATTGTTTTGTGTGACATAGAATTCCTCCCTCCAAGAGATAGGATGGAATCTTTGCTTTCTTAAAGAGATAATATGGAGTCAGGTGAGGAGGACTAGGTTAAAAAGGAGAGACAGGAGAAAAGGTCAGAATATCATAGTCATAGCCTAAAAGAAACTAAGAAGGCCCCAAAGGAAATTAGGCCATGGGCCTAGAAGCACTTAAATATCTCCTCTGCCCTTCTTCTCTAACCCTTTTTGCAGAGCCAGTCAGGACTGCCTCGTTTTCCCAAATGATTAGTCCAGCGGGAAAAAAAAAGAAATCTATTTGTGTGGCTGGCCTGAGCTGTGAGCTCTGTGGTGGAAAGAGGACTCCAGTGAGAGTCTGGAAGAAGGGAGCTGGAGGAAGGCCAGGGACCAGGCTTTGGTGGTTTGGAAGCTGCTTGTGGGCCAGGTCTGCACAGACCAGAGGCTTTACCCGTGCTCCACAAGGCGAGGGCACAGGTTGGCCTTAGTCCATGGTTGAGGGAGGAATGAAACAAAGACTCTTGAGAGAATCGGAGCCAGCTCTTTGGGCCAGTGGTGGAGCCTAGCCTTTGGCTAGGACCTGACTGGGAGCCTCTGACTGCTTACAAGGTCTGACTGAAGCTGGCTAGAAAGATAACCTTCCATAGGAGAAAAGTGGCATCTTAAAGAGATTTTTGTCCATCTGTCCTTCTAGGGCCCTCAAGGACCACAGGGACTGGTTGGCCCATTGGGAGAGATTGGACCAAAGGTAAAGTGTTTAAATAAATGGACCTTCTTCTTGTCACCTTCTCTTCCTGTGCCCTTCTCCCAGCCAAAGCCTCTTCACAGGAGGTCTCCCGGCTTCTTAGAGAAGTACAAGAGGACAGGGAAGTGTTTTCAGCAGAGATCACTCTTAAAGTATTGAGAAGTTGCCTCCAACCTCCATATTCTTCATCCTGCCTCCCCTGTGGACCCTCCTGATTTTTCCTCCTCCCCTTATGAAAACTTATTATAAAAGAAGGCTTTAATAAACTAATAAGGTTCAAATAGGCTGGGAGGGAGTATAGGGGCCAGGTTGTGGGTTGGGGTGGAAGCTGGGGGCGGGTAGCACTAATTCTAATTCACTAATAAGGTCCAAATGACTGATAACAGATGTATCAGTCTTCTTTCTCTTAGAAATGTTTGCATTCTAACAGAGATCAAAAACTTTAAGTTAATAGTAATCCTTTCCACAGGGCAGGTAGGTGACATAATGAATAGAGCGTCAGGCCTGGAATCAGGAAGATGAGTCTTCCTGAGTTCAAATCTGGCCTCAGACATTTATTAGCTGTTTGACCCTGGCCAAGTCACTTAACCCTGTTTGCCTCAGTTTCCTCATCTGTAAACTGAGCTGGAGAAGGAAGTGGCAGACCACTCCAGTATCTGTGCCAAAAAAACCCCAGATGGGGTCACAAAGAGTCAGACATGACCGAGAAATGACTGAACAGCAAAATCTCTTCAATGTACCCATGTCTTCACATACATTAATTCAGTTCCACAATGCTGTGAAGTAAGTATAAGGGAGAAGGAATTATGATATTATCATTATGCAGATAAAGAAATGGGGTCAGATAGGTAAGTGAATACTACTCAGATTCACATGGTTAGTAACTAGCAGAGTCAGGATACTAACCCAGGCCTCCTTCCATTTCAAATTCTACTTTTACCATCTGTGTTTTTTCTGCTACACCTTACTGCCTCTCACTCTTACTGAAATTTCAGGAAGATGAGGGTGGAGGAGCTTTCTGAGCCTCCCTGGTGACACGTGGGCCTGCCCTCTGAAATGATACCAAATTAGTAGCTGCCTGCTTTGCTTCTGTGGAAAGCTAATCTGGATGACTACATATCTCCAGGCCTTTGGGAATTCCCAGAAGGGGCTTACCATGAGTTTGAAAGCCAGTAAGGTGAACTGAAGGAAATTCTATTCTCCTCTCTCCCATTGTAACCTACAAGGAGTTTTGTGACCTCTTTCCGCACTACCTGCTTCTTTTTTTCCCTTATACTAGGTCCATTCTCCCCAACCCCTTTTTACAGAAGGGTCACAGAAAAGTTTAAGGGATTTGCTTGAATCTACACAGTGAGTCAAGTGGTAGTCAGAACTAGAACCCAGAGCAGCTGGAGAACTATAAAAGATCACTTTGTTTCAATGCCTCACTACTGTGGTGTCAAAATAGCAATCTACCCTCAAAATGGGAGAAAAGATGGGTTCAGGGAATGAGATGAGGGCTCCTGGATCTATCTCCTGGCTTTTCCTAACCAGGCAACCTAACCTTGTGCAATGAGGGCAGGATTTAGAAGACCTGAATTTAAATTCTAGTTCTGTAATTTAGGGCAAGCCACTTGACCTTTCTGGACCTTAGTGAAACAAGTGGGTTGGACTAGTGCTCCCTAAGGCCCATTCTAACTTTAGATCTTATGATCCTATCACCATTCAATGCCTCTCCTCCACCAAAAATGGGAGAAGGCATTTCCCTCCTTATTTGACTTACGGGGACTTTTCTGCAGAAAAGAAGTCTGGCAATAAGACAGGGAACTAGCTGAGATTCACAGAAGTTAGGGTCCTTTCCAACACACTCCACCCCACCCAAAGCAGAGCGCCCATCCCTTGGGGTTCGTTGTCTGTCATCTTTTTGCTTGGCCTCAAAGAGAATGGATGTACTCATTCGGCTAAAAGCTCAGCTCTCAGGCGATTCTTGCCACCCCCCTCCCCCTTATAGTTGTGTGAATCACAAGATTTTCCATCCCAGGCCTGCCAAAAAGCTCTTAATGTGGTAAACCGCACAAATGGGGAGCTCAGCTCCCAGCCTGCCTCCAAGCAGCTTCTGGGCTCGGCCGGGTGGCACTGATCTGAAACTCCCATCACATACAGCCTGGCATGGGCCTTCCTTCCTATCCCCTGATGCCCAGAAGGCCTTTTGTGTTATCACAGTGAGGAGTATCACCCCCTGACCCCCAGTGACTCAGCCCATGCCTCCCAACCTCTAGGAAGGAAGAGAGAAGAGCCTTGGGGCTCGCTCAGGTAAAGAACCGCCTCTCCTTTTGTGGTTCTGATACTGCTGAAGGCAGTCCCCTTCTGTGGGACCCCCTTCAGAAAGCCTGATGCCTGCTGTGGAGAAGGTCATGGTGCTTGCGAAGTGATGTGTCCTTGAAGTTCCTCGTAGTTGGAGTTGATCTTTCTCTGATCTGACACCCAGGCCCAGGGGCTAGATTGAGGAGAAGGGGACAGAAGGAATAGCTCCTCAACACCAAGGCAAATGTCTGCCATTTCTGTTGCTGCACCCTGAGGTTTTTACAAGAGACTTGCTCCATGCCCCAAAGGGGGTGCTCCACTCACAACAACCCTCTAAAGTAAGTAGTGAGCATATGGTTACCCCCATCTCCCAGATGAGGAAACTGAGGCTCAGAGAAAGGTGAAGTGACAAAACTAGGAAGCACTGGAGCTGAGGCTCACCCTGGGTCTTAAGGGCACAAGAGGCCAGGTCCAGCACTCTTCCCCTTCTGCCTGTCAGTCACTCCCTCAGTTTGCCTTCAAGGTTTATTTATCCTGCCTTCCAAACTGTGGCTTTGGCTGGTTTGATGGTCCCCTTCGGCTACCTTCTTACTAAGAGCTCCAAGGACTTCGCAGGATCCATGGACCTCCTTTACCCTCCCATCCCACACCCCACCTCCAAAGGGAGTGAGTGTAAGTTTTACTAGAGGATCTTGGAAAGGTTAGGGCCCTGCCAAGGACCATACGTGAGTCAACAATAGAGTTAGGGCTAGAACCCAGGTCTAGAGAGTTGACTCTCCAATGGAGACTACAGCCTCCGTGAGAATAGCATCTCCCCTCTTTGTCTTTTCTGAGATCTTCCCTCCATTCCTGTCTATTGAGCTGAAGCAGGTAAAAGAGAAATACTTCCCCGAGGGGGCATGGAGGACCGGGCTCCTCTCTCCATCCCTCCCTTCTGGCATCTGTTGGTCAGCTCTGGCATAGTTACAATGAAACTTTCTTTCAGGGACCTCCTGGTGCTTTGGGAGAGCCTGGCCTTCCAGGTGAAGCTGGGATGAAGGTAAGCGGAATCCACAGTCCGGTCTCCTCTGCCTTTCCCCCCGACCCCCACACCCACCCCAAGACCAGTAGAACAGAGGTCTTTGTTTGTCACTGGCTGACTGTAATGCCTGGGATATGCCTTTTGAAAAGGGATCTGGGCTGTGCTAGGGGGCCCCACAGTTCCCATGCGTCACTGGCTGCGATCAACCTTCCAGGTCTGATTGCTCTGGGGCCCCACAGGAGAGACTGGGCTTTTCCTCAGTCTGGGGCTCCTATCCATGAGTAGGGTAATGGGATCTTGGGAACCTCAGAGAGCAAACAAGGAAATCATCTCCAGGGGCCACTCAACTTTCTCAGGCAGCTGCAATTGGAAGGTAGGAGAGAGGCCTTGGGGAAACACCCAGAGCCTGGTGGGACACCATTTGGAAACCCCAGCTTTTATTGCTCATCTGTTCACCTCTGAACCCTGGATATCTGGGAGCCCATTTGGGGGTATTCCAACGTTTGCATTTTTATTTTAATTTTTTCTTAAATTTACTTGAATAGGTCAAACCTATTCAAAGCCCTCAGGCCCCACAGAGGCCAAATTCAGATCTCATCTCTACTACTTACTAGTTATGTGACTTTAGGCAAATCCCTTTACCTGTTTGGGCTTCGATGCCCTCATTTGTAAAATGATGACCCCGGTTCACTGACTTAATTCAAACACACTCTGGTGGTCTCTAATATTCCTCCTAGCTCTGATTTCCTATCTACTAAAAGTCTGCTGAAACCCATCTTTTGAGCTCCTCTCCCCACTCCACCCCCAAAAGAGGCTTGACCACAAAGCCAAGTTTTCCCTCCCTTCCCACCCTCTGCCCAGGCATTCCTTGAGTTCCCAGGGGGTTTTGGACTTGACCTTAGGTCAGAGTCGGCAACATTTTGGATAGTCAGCCCCCAGATCAAGTCCAATGCCTCCATGGAGCTTAGAGAATACTGGAGGGGGAGAGGGGGAAGGGTTCAAAAAAACTGTCCACCAGCAAACAGCCCCTGTCCCCCTGGCTCCGTGACCAAGCCTTTTGGCAGGACTCAAAAAATGGGTTACAGTATATTCCAAGAGCCTTTCAAGCTTTAGATAGTCTAAGGTCCGTCCCTTTTCTAAAGCCTACAAAACCAATGTGCCGAGGTTTTGAATGGGGTTGAGATGCTAAGGAACCCCCCTGGAGAAGAAATATCTCTATCTTTTTTTTAGCAATCTAGTGAAAACAGGAAGCATTGTTGACCCTGCTGAGTAGCCCTGGACCAGAGGGGACTCTGTATAATTCAGCTTGCCCTAGCTGAGCTGTCGGACGCTTTTCTCTATCTCTCTTCTTTGATGTTTGCTCTGGCAGACTGACCCTTTGATACATCTGCCTCATCTTCTGGCCTTGATACTCAGTCTGAATCTCAACTCTGTACCCACCCACGTGCCTCCCCTACCTCCTTCTCTACCCTGTGCCCCTAACTACCTGCCTGGGAAACAAACCTCTATTGATCCACTTGGCTCAGCCAGGCTACTGAGGGCCTCTCAACAGGAGGGGCGGGGGAAGGCTCCCGAATTGAGAAAGAAACTTGTACCTCACAGCCCCTGTGGAGTTTTTAAGGAATGTTGGCCCAGGGTGAGGGTATTGTTGAAGTCTGGGCCCCGGGAGAGGCTATGCACACTTGAGAGTAGTGGGAGCTGAGGGGAAGGAATAAAAGCAATGTGGCTTAGTGGGAAGAACACCACAAAGCCTGGTTTGAATACTATGATCTTAGACAAGCCCTTTACCCTCTCTGGGTCTCAGTTTCCCTAAATGAAGGACTAAATGATCTCTCAGGTCCCTTCTAGCTCTGGGTCCTGTAATGTGTAAACATAGGAAACAGGAAGATCAGCATGTGGTAGACTCCCAAGAACAGAGGGAGCTTTGAAGGATACAAGGAATGAGGACCCAAAGACTCCCAGGCTGGAGAAGGGCCATTTCTTCTCTCTAGCCCACCTCAAATCTCATTTTACTTGCATGGAAAGAGATATGAGGGCCATGGGTAGGAAAGAGCCTGACCTCCATCACTGAGAATCACCAGGGATTGGAGGCTGGAGGGTGGGGAGAGGAGAGATGGGATTCCAAGTACAGTTGACCAGCAGCATTGCACAACCATTTTCTCTCTCAGGCCCTCATTCTTTAACTTACCTCTAATTTTGTCTTCTCAAAGTGCCACAAATGAAATGCTGGATGAGTGAATTAATGAATGAATGAATGAACAAAAAGCAATTATTAAGTACCTATTAGGTGCTGAGCATCTTACTAAGAAGTGGGGCACAAATGCAGAGACAAGTCCTTACATTCTAATGGGGGAGACAACACGTAGAGGGGAATGGTGACCAGGGAGGAAGACTTTGACTTGAAAAGTTTCCAGGATGAGAATGGAGCCAGAGGGGAGTAGATTGACATATCTTTGAGTGTCTTATGAAAGTATTATGTGCCGAGGAAAAGCCAGCTTGGGGGCAGAGTGGACAGAGTGCTGAGCTTGGAGTATGGAAGACAAGTTCAAATCCTGCCTCAGATATGTTTTAGCTGTGTGACTCTGGGCAAATCACTTAACCTCTCAGTTTCTTCATCTGTAAAATGGAGAGGTTGGATTTAATGGCCTCTAAGATTTCTTCCAGCTCTAAATCTGGGATCAGTGCTATCAGTTACTCTGTTCATAGTCAATGAGTTATACTTCATGGCAGGACAATAAGTTGTTCAGTGGCTCACTGAAAACAATTTTTTAAAAAATATATATTTGTGTGATTTATAAATAAAAATTGGCATGAGGAAACTCAAATAGGCAACCATGCACATGAGAACTCTTTGCCACCTAGTTCAGGTCACTGCCACTTTTTCCTCTCTAAAACTGTCTGCAGTTTGAGTAATCTGGACCCATGAGCAAGAAGAGCATTTTTCTCTGCCCATCCCCCACCCCCAAAGGATACAAGAGATAAGAACAATGAACCAAAATAATTGCAAAGAGAACTTTTTTTAAAGACACATTTAGTGAAAGTCAAATACCACCGACCGCAAGAAACCAAAAACTGGATCTGTCATTTCATTGGTCTGACTCTGATTAGAGATGACGGAAGAATCCCTGTACTGCTTTTCTGGACTTGGCCCACAGCTAGCCCCTTAAGGAGCTTACAGTCTACCCAAAGAGGCCCTTGGAAGGTCAACTGGGCCATAGAACCATCGCTAGGTCAGTGAAAGATCCGGTAGCCAGAGTCCTTTAGGACACAGTGCAGAACTGGGTGTTTAGCAGGTACGTATCGTGGAAAAACTTTTTGTCTCACTAATGATGCACTTGCCTTTAGTTCCATCTCCTGCCTCTAAATCCTTGTGTAGGTTCTGGCCCTCATTCCTGGATTGTACTTCCTCCTTACCTCCACCTCTTAGAATCTCTAGTTTCCATCAAATTTCAATTCAAATACTACCTCCTTCAGGAAATCTTTATCTCCCCCAGATCCTAATGGTTCCCCCAAAAGGTTACCATGTATTTATTTTATAAGTACTTAAATGTAAGCTCATTGTCTCTGCCAATCGAATGGAAGCTTATCGAGGGAAGGAATGTTTTCATTTTTGTCTGTATCCACGGTTCCCGGCTCGTAGTAGGCACTTAATAAATGATTGATAAAGAGGAGTACCCAGGACTCCCAGTTTCTCTTTGGTATAAAAAATGGAGCAAGGATTAATCTGGCCACTGGAAAATTTGGTAGGCTCATGGCGAATGGGGCAGGAGGAAGGGAATGATGGTGTAGATGATATGACTTTGATGAGTTTCTCTCCATGACACTGAACCACGTGTTTGGATTTCATAGGGCGATTTTGGACCTTTGGGCATCTCTGGAGAGCAAGGTCTGGTTGGTCAGCGGGTGAGTAGCAGCCAATTTCCTTCTTATCCCCAGGGCAGGATTGTGTAGTCTAAAGGTCAATAGACTAGTCATCGGAAGACTTGGCCCTGCTCCCATCTGGCTGTGTGACCTGAAATAAGAGATTGGACCTCCTCTAGAACCCAGGTCGCCCTCGGTAAAAAGAGACAGTCACACTAGACTGTGTCTAAGGTGACTTTCAGCCCTGATGTTCTGTGATTCTCTTCTAAATCATTCCTCTTCTTGCCGATCCTACAAAGAAAAAAACAATCATTCTGGTTTTACATAAGGAAGATTTGGGCTGTAATTTTCTATTCATTGCATGTTTCTATGTTCCATAATAATATTGGGCCCTTCAAAGAGCAAGGACCAGGTCTTTTGGTGCCTCTTAAAGCTGCCTGTCGATCCTTGGGCCGCTACCAGCTCAAACTAATTTAGCATGACTGATTTTAATCTATTCTGACTAAGGTCCCAAACTCTTCAAACTCAGGCTTCATGAATGTAGCCACAGCAGGTGGTGATGCTCCCCGTCAAAGTCAGAGACATCACTAAGATTGGGTCCCAGCCTAGGGGACACAGGAATTTACTTTCACAAAGGAATTCCCATGCATGGGAGCAGAAGAAAGTGTGTTTGAATTAAGCAAATGAACAAAGACGGTAGTCATGCTCAATGGGGCTGATGGGTGACTGTACAGTACAGTATGTTAAATGCCTTTGCATGGTTGGCTGTTTGTTGTATGGGTTGTTTTTTTTAACTTTTCGAAAGACCACTAGAGAAACAAAGTGCTTATTAACGGATTCATTTTTTACTCTAAGCAGAGAAGTTAAGGAGAGGGTGAAGAGAGGGTAAGAGGAAACAGAATTCCAGAGGTGGAGAGGGAAGCCAAGTTCATTTACTAGTAGCTTTGGGACCTGTGTCTTCAGACAGTTACATAGAGGAAAGGCATAAACAAGACATATGCTCTTAAAGCTGGATGGGACGTGTCAGTGACCAGAGATGCAGGTGCGTGCTGGAACCAGCTTATACTGGCTTTCTGGTTGTTATATTTTCAATATAAGCATTTACATGTTAAAAATCAGCAAATGCTACAAATTAGGCTGTGATTTATTATTCTTCTGATTACCTAGACTTAAGGAAGTATGATAGAGAAAATATTAATAATGCAGATTAAACTTTGAAGTGTGTTGGACATATATTTGGGGGGGACAGGTGTTAAACATTTACTAGCACATCTTTGAAAGCCAACCCTGGAGTCAGCAAAATCTAGGTTCACGTATTGACTCTGATATGGATAGGCTGTATGACCCTGGACAAGTCACTGAACTCCCTCCCAGTGTCTCCAGATAAGTCCCTAAAGCTCTAAGTTGCCAAGCAGCTGTAAGTCTGCATCGGTAGAAAGTGTTTCCTTACTGAGAGTTCCCTGTACCAGTTCATGGGTCCTGTCATCCCTTCTGCCAAAAAAAAGGGGGGGGAGAAGGGGTGTTGATGACCCTTCAAGGTCATCTAATCCAACAGGCTCATTTCAGAGAAGTGGAAACCAAGGCCCACGGAGGGGAAATGATTTGCTCGGAGTCCCTGGGAAGAGTGTGATCTTTCAGGCTGAGTCTTAAACTTCTAGTTAAATTCAAAGGAATCCATTTCTGCATTCAATCAGTGACTCCCTGAGCAATCTGAAGGGTTTATTTATTGGGGTCATTCTCCAATGGCTGGATAAACTAGCCTAAAGCTGGTTGGTCCCTGAGGAAGTATGGGTGGCAATGGGGAGGAGGCGTCCTCCCCCAGGGAGTATGTCTTGAGGCAGAACTAGAGGCGGAGAAGATGACCTTACGGAAGAAGGAGATGAACTCTCCCTAACACGGCCTCTTCCATTTCTAGGAATGGGTTAGTGGCCTGAACAGTAGACTGGGGTCACCAGATTCTGAGTTCAAGGCCTGGCTCTGCCACTAGTATGGGCAAGTCATTTCATCTCTCAAGAGCCTTAGTTTGTTCCTCTGTAAAGTGGGGATAACAATGCTTACAGTATCTACTTTGTAGAGTTGCTGAGAACAAATGAGATAATATGTGTAATTATAAGTACCACATGGGTGTAACCTACTGTAATTACTCTTATTCCCACAGGGAGAGACAGGGCTGGAGGGAGATAGTGGCCCAGCTGGACCTGACGGTCTGAAGGTATATGGGGAAATGGGTTTTGGAAGGAGGGGATGTCCCTTGAACTAATCTTCTAGGACAGATGGACCCTTTCCTCATGGGCTCCCTGCCACCAGAAGCAGATTCAATAAACTTCAGTTTTTCTTCTATGGTATTACAGGAAATGAGAATTTATTTCTGGGAGGAACATTAGAGATCATCTAGCCCAACCCCTTCATTGTTATGTAAAAGGAAACTGAGGCACAGAGAGATTGAGTGCCTTCCCAATAGTTACACAAGTAGTAAGCAGCTGAGTTGAAATTTAAGGGTCTTCTGATTTCAACTACAGTGACATCTTACTGCCTCAATTCTTACTTTTTGCCTTCTCCAAACTTTCTGGGAATGCCATCTCCTTCTTCAAGGTGAGAGAAAGGAGAATGAAAATCCTCCCTCTCTTTTTCTTGTGGAGAAAGAAAATGGGTCATCTCAGTATCATGGTGGTTAGACAGCTGTTTCTAGCAGGTGCTCACTGGCTCCTCCCACCCTTCTCCTCTTCTTCTTCCTCTTTGGCCACATTAACCAAAAACCAGTGGCCAACAACTGGCCTGCTCTTGAGATAGGAAGGGGAGGGGGAGTTCCAGTGTAGGATGCTGAGGTCCAAATGGGATCCGGTTCTCTCAGTCTTTCACCATAGTTCAGCCAACTCTTTTCCACTTGTAGAATGGGCGGTAGCATCTTCTCTACACCCAATAGAAGAGCACGAACAAGCCCACATCTGTTCTGGGTGCGCTAGATTTTCAAAACCACATCAAGTTATTTTCAGATCATAAGCAAATACCCAGACGTTTTTAGATGAAGCCTCTGTGTCTAGTCTCCTGGAACTGGAGTCTGCCTTTCTACTTAGGAATCTGAAGCTACAAATAGGGCAATCCCTTCTTCTGGACTTGGTCAACAGCCTTGGTCTCCTTTCTGTAGCGCTTTTCCTGTTTCTTCCACCGCAGTGAAGTTGTCTTTGCTCATTCAGTACCCTCCTGCGTCCTCTTATCTCCATTCTTCCTGAAGACTACTAACTGGGTCCTAAGACTTTGAACTAGAAAGAAACCTAGCTCAACTGGTCCCACTTTCTGCATTTTACGTGAGGGAAAACTGAGGCTCAGAAAGGTTAAGGAATTTGCCCAAGGTCATATGGTAGTGAGAGCAGAACTGGGATTCTTACCCAAGTCTCCTAACTCCTAATTGAGTCCATCCTGCTAAGCCTCCTTTTTCTGCAGATGAATAATAGGTCTTTGGTGACTGTTTCCCTTTGGTCTGCTCCTGAGCCCTATAGGATTGTGCAGAACACTCCTGATGTGTCTTTCTGGCTTTCCAAAAATTTTATTCATGCTCCCAAGATTCCTAAGTGACACCTAAGATTTCTGGTCTCCCCCATCCCCTTTGGCTTGAATATTTTCTGACTGGCCAGGAGATGTCAAGTCCTGTCCTCTTGCAGGGTTATCATTCCAGCCTCCTTCTGTCTTGCTTTTCATACGAGGGTCTCTTAGCCTCCTCTCTTCCAACTCTGGGAGAAGCACTGCATGGCATCCTCTGACCTGGAATTCTGGGAGCAGAAAAGAAGAAAGCAGCCATACATCCCTCCCTTTGCCTTCTCCCCCACCCTGCTGCATTCCAGAAATCCCCCAGGCAGGAATCAATCATGAAATTTCCTGGCTCCCAGTCTCAGGTTGGAATCCTGGCATTCCAGAGCCCTGGCCCCACTCTCTCAGTTCCAGGCATTTAAGGCCTCCGGCAAGCCCCAAGGGCCCAGAGCGTACTACTGCAGCTGAGCCCACCCACTTCATTCTCCAGGTGTCTGTCCTGGGAGCCCCGACTGACTTCCCTTGGCTGATAGTTCTTTGAAAAATACTGAATCTTACTCTGGCAGGCTAGGTAGCCTGGTGGGACTGAGACTCAGCTGGACATTTGAGTTTCAAGTACCAGCTCCAAAGCTGCTGATAGAAGTGTGTCCTTGGAAATGCTGCTAACTCTTTCTGGGTCCTCATTTTCTCCTCTGATGGTCATAATACTTTCCCCAACTCACCACCCCAGAAAGGTCACAATGACACTATCAGTGAAACTGAAGGTGAAATTTATGCAAATCTTTTGTAGTATGGTTACATTATATTTTCACATCAGCATCTGATGATTTAAATGTCAGCCTGAAGAGTTTTCTGTCAGTCAGAATTTCTTTTCCCTGGACAGTGCCTCCGCTGGGCCCCGATCTCCCATCACACATTATTAGTTGAGCAGCAATTCCCTTTCAATTAGCCTAATCCTTTTTAAAAAAAATTTTTTTTTTAGGCAATTGGGGTTAAGTGACTTGCCCAGGGTCACACAGCTAGTAAGTGTCAAGTGTTTGGTCTGAAGCCCCATTTAAACTCAAGTCCTCCTGACTTCAGGGTCAGTGCTCTATCCACTGCACCACCTAGCTGCCCCCAATTAGCCTAATCCTCAGAGTTTTCCCCTAAGTAATAACAGATATTTCGATTAGGGCTTTAAGGTATACAAAGTGCTTTCTCATGAGTTGTGTAGTGAAAATAGTACCTCCATTTTACAGGTGGGGAAACTGAGGCACAGAGAGGCAAAGCAATTTGTCTAGCCTTACGTATAGGAAATATTGCATAGAGATTTGAAGCCAGGTCTTCTCTCTAGAAGTCCAGCCTTCTTTCAGTCACTATGCCGTGCCTCTTTCTACTTGGTGTAGTTCCTTAATCCGGGTTTTTGGCCTAGCATCCTATCCTTTCATTCCACCATGATCCAGGATGAGAATAGTTGTTCTCTTGCCTCTTGGGTCATAGTCTTTCTTCATTTTCCCAGTTTTTGTAGGTAGTGTCCCTAGCTTAGCTTCATAGCTCCTGATCATTCACACTTTTGTCGCAATTATGTCAGGGGGCCAGTAAGCTTCAGTCATTTTTTTTTGGTGGGGCAGTTCCTTTTTAAAATTTTTAATTTATATTCACTTAATAATCATCTATTTTCTCTTCCATCCACCCCATCCTCTCAATTTAAAAGGGAAAAAGAACAAAACCTTTGTAACAAATATGCATGGTCGAGCAAAGCAAATTCTCCTATTGGCCATATTTAAAAACATAGGTGTCATTCTGCATATTGAGTCAGTCAGCTGTCTGTTAGGAGGTAAGTACCATGGTTCATCACGTGTCCTTTTGAATCTTTGTTGATAACTGAATTGATCACAGTTCCAGTCTTTCAAAACTGCTTGCCTTTACAATGTTGTTGTTACTGTATAAATTGTTTTCCTAGGCCTTCAGCTTCAGTAATGTTAATGAGGCCAAGGTCATGAGTTCAGGCCCTGTGTAAACCATCTAAGCATTTACTATTCTCCATTTACAGGCTAAAACCCAGAACTCGTCTGAAGAGAGAAAGTATAGGGAGCTCTATATCTAGGAAGGAAGGCTATTTGGGCCATTCACAGTGGGCATTCAGGGCTGCCCTTAGAAGTTCACAGAGCTGGAAGAAATCTTAGGCATCACGTAGTCCCCCCTTCCCCCCCTTTCTCCTTCCTGCCACAGATGAAGAAACTCTAAACCAACCAAGAAGGATAATTCCCCCAACCAGTACACCCCAGATCATCAGCCAGACACTGTCTCTTCCTTAAACTGCCATGACTTCATGCCATCTCATGCCATCTCCTCTTAGCTCTCTCTAAGCCAGTCCCCAGTTCTCAGACCACATGTCAGATCTTAGTGGCAGGCCTGTCACCCTCCATTTGAGATAAATACCCCCAGTGGTATTGAAAAGGGCTCCCAACTGCCCGTGGGATTGCTTTTTGGTATGGGGATCCATGCTATTCATATCACTGCGCTGGGTTAGGCTATACCTGATATTTGAGGGTGGCCTAGTTTGGGGAGGGTGCCAAAGTAGAGTCTTTGACTGATCCAGGCATAAAGCAACCTACCTTTATGGTCTGACAGAGCATGCTTTACCTCTCCCACATCTTTGGATCATCAGAAATCAGAACGCACTCATAAATGAGCTAAGGCATATTTAAAATGGGGAGAATGGTCAGGAGTTGATTTTAAACCTTGGCCCTGCTCAAAACTGCTCTCATTCTGTCTGGGAGGAAGCCATTAGGTCCATGGGACAAGCACAGGAGAGTAGTGTTTGAAGATTCTTCCCCCCTCCCACTCCTTCAATGGCCTCATACCCCAGCTGGACAGCTCCCTCTGACTGGCCAAGGACATTTAAAAATAATTGTCACCATTACTCTTTCTCTCAGCTGACATGGCTGCTGTAATTCCAGATGACTCCGTTTTTGTTTTGAGAACGGACCGTGAAATCATGGGTCATAGGGCACCTAACTCCCCCCCTTCATGTGGCAATATCCCCACATTGCTTTGGCTTGGGTAAGCTGATGCCTCTTTCCTTTCCCAGGGAGACAAGGGTGAGCCAGGCCCGGATGGCGAGCGAGGAGAGAAAGGCAAAGAAGGCCTGAAAGGCAAAGAAGGTCCCCCTGGCTATCCTGGCGTCACAGGTGTCCGGGTGAGTCAGCAAAGCCAATCTGCCTGTTTCCTTATCACTTCTACATATGTCTCCATGTGTCTCCTTCCCTCTTTCTGGCTGTACTTGAGTGGAAACATCCAGTGTCAATCCAAGAGACCCAATAGGGCATTTGAACTCTCTTGGCATGGTTTATAGGCTGACATTCTGCCAGCATAGTGTACTTTGCTTTCTCCTGGTTTCAAAAGGATACTAGTCAAATTGTTGATTTGTTCAACAAGCCAACTAGTTGAAGACTTTGATCCAGCAGTGTCTTAAGGAAACGGAATGAGTTGGCCTTGTGGATAGGTCATAGAATTATCGATTTAGAACCGGAAGGGACCTTGGAGATTATCCAGTCCAAGCCCCTCATTTTACAGGTGAGGAAAGTGAGGCCCAGAGAGGCAAAATAACCTGCTTGGCGTCCCACAGTTAGTTGGTATTTGAGCTGGGATTGTAACCCCAATCTTCTCTTGGCTCCAAGTTCAGTACTCTATCCATTATACCATGTTGTCTAGAGGCTTCAGAAAGCTATAGTCCCAGAGTCTTTTTCGTCTGGCTTCCAAATTGTCGCTGGCTATATTTTGCTCTTCAACTCACAAAGATATGGGAATTGGAGCCTCATGCTCCTGCCACCCTCCCTGCCACCACCACCACCACCACCACACACACACACACACACACACACACACACACACACAGAGGCAGATCTCTACTTGATTTCTAGTGTTCTGGGCTTCACACTTACTTTAGCAAGCATTCCATAGTTTTTGGAATGGTAAACTTGGAAGCAAGACTCCATCAGAATTAGCCCAAGGGAAGGGCCCTTGAATGAGGCCACATATCAAAAAAAAGTATCAATTTTCATAAAAAAATGTTAACTTGGTTCTAATTCCTATGATGCCCCAAATGCTAGCTCTCAGGTAGATATGGGAAAATCCCAAGGAACTTAGGATTTCCAACTAACTTTCCAACTCAATTTTTTTCCAACAATTTCCAACTAAAGCTGGAAGGGACCTCAGAGATCATCTGGTCCAACCCTCTCATTTTACATATGAGGAAACTGAGGCACATAAAGGTCAAGTGATTTGCCCAAAGTCATGAATATATAGTAAGCATCAGATATTGGGTATAAACCCTGGTCCTCTGACTTTCAAGCCAGCATTCTTTTCTCTGTGCCTCCAAGTTGAGTGGACCTGGAATTTCACTAGTATAAGGAGTTATGGGTGAGTAACTTCGTTTATCAATTTAGACAAAAACTTTCTCTGTAACTTAGAATCTTAGAAAATTGCCTGGGGCACTGAGGCTTATAATGACTTTCCCAGGGTCCTATCCAGTGTGTGTCAGAAGCAAAATCTTTCTCGCTCCTAAAGATACTCCTCCAGTCACTATGCTGTGTTGTGTCTCCTCTATATTTTTCTCAGTTGGTGATTTCATTTTTTTTAAAACCAGCACCCAGTTATAAGGCTGGCATTGGGGTAGTGGAAGGGGATGGGACCATCTGCATTACAGAATGAGAGAAACATTCTGCCCTACTTTGTGCTTATCAGATATGTTTTAATCTAGTCTTTAATTTAGTCTGAGACATAGCAAATTGTTTCATAGTGGATTTTGTTTACTCATTCAGCTAACTTGCATCCTGTACCTACTATGTGCAAGGTCCATAGCACAGGGAATCTAAAAAAAAACCTTCAAAAACCTTATGGTTTAGTTGGAGCAACAAAACACAGCAATGTAATTAGGGAACAAAACAAGAGAGGCTAGGTGCAGGAGCATTATCACTGTCTTGTTATTTGAAAGGGCTCTCTTGGGAGACAGAGATTAGACTTAGATTACCATCTTGGCCCCTTGGGTTTAGAACTGGGAGCAGTGGGTGAAAGGTGGGGAAAAGCAAATTCCAGTTGTTTGTGAAGACCCACTTCTTCATAGAACTGTCCAAAGGTAGAATAGGTGGTGGGAGGGAGTTGTGGAAATAGCCATTAGCAGAGGCTGAAGGGGATACTCTTCATACAATTTCTATTGCAGATGTCATAAAACCACAGAATCTCAGAGTTCAAAGGAATCTCAGAGACCATCTAGTCCAACCTGTACTTTTAGAGGAATCACCTCTGCAGAAATCCCTGACGAGGAGCCATCTCCATTCACTCAGAGACTTCTAGAACCCATTATCTCCCAAGGCAGATCATTCCACTTTTGGATAGCTCTGAGTCTTAGGGAGTTTTTCTTTACTCTGAGCCAGAATCTGTCTCTCTATACTTTCTGCCTACTGTCTCTACTTCTACTCTCTGGGGGAAAAGCAAAAGTTCAATCCTTGAAGACAGTGATCATGTCTCCCTACACCCCTCACCTTCTCTTCTACAGACTAAACATTTTTTAAACTGATCTTTTTCTCTGGCGTGGCCTCCAGTCCCCTCAGTACCCTGATGAGCCTTCTCTGAATGCCCACCAGGTTGTACGTGTCCTTTCTAAAGGTGTTCATAAAGGTGTTTCTAAAGGTGCTTCCTGTTGAGGTATTCATTAGACTTTGTTGTTTTCAGTGGTCTCAATCATATCTGACTCTTCATGACCTCACTGGGGATTTTCTTGGCAAAGATTCTGGTCTGCCATTTCCTTCTCCAGCTCATTTTACAGATGAGGAAACTGAGGCAAACAAGGTTAAGTGACTTGCCAGGGTCACACAGCTGAGAAGTGTCTGAGGCCAGATTTGAACTGAGGAAGATGAGTCTTCCTGACTCCAGGCCCAACACTCTATCCACTGTGCCATCTAGCTGCCCTATTCACGAGATTACATGATCTCAAAGGTTCCTTTCAGCTTTGAGAGTCTGTGACTGAGACAATGTCGACATCAGATTCTGTGCAGAAGCTTAGACAAGATGGTGGGAAGACTTTAATGGGATCTTAATAGATCAGCAGTTAATCAGCAAGCATTCATTAAGTACCTACTGTGAGCTAGGCACTGGTGATAGATGGGTAAAAATGAAAGCGTCCTGTTCTCATTGAGCTTCTGCTCTGTCAGCTGGGAATAGGAGTTATGTAGGCAGAAAAAGAGAGGGTAGGGCAACCCAGGCAGGGCTTACCATTTGATGTCTGAGAAGAGAGCAGAGCTGGCAGGCTTGACTAGAGCCTAGAGGGCACGTGAGAAGAGGAGGGGGAGGCTGGAGGCAGATCTGAAAGTTCTGCCGTTGACGATGGAGTGCCAAGAGAAGGGAGTCAGGGAGATGTTCCCATAGCCTCATGAGTTTCCACATCTGAGTTCTGGCTGCTCAGCTTGTCAGTTGCCTGGCCTCAAAAGCAGTGGTCTCAGGGCCTTGCCCCGAGAGGCCTCAGGGCTCGGCATCTCCAGGGGCAGGCCCTTCTCTGTCACGTCCATACAGTGGCTCACTCAGACATTCCTTTCCCTCTTTGTCCCTTTATGAAGACATTCCTGAGGGTCTAGGAGGTCCTGGGGTCTTCAGAGAGTCCTCTTGTAAACAGGCCACTCTCATTTGCGTTGCCACCCTTCTTAAATTCACTGTGCTCTGTACATTCACAACTGCCTGGACTGGGTGGCCCATTTAAGACCAGATTTATTTAAAGTCACATAGCATCTATAAACCTCCCCTCCCCCGCCCCCTCGGATGAGAGCAGATCTTGGCTAGATCTTGGCACTGGAAAGATATTTTCTCAGAAAAGCATTCAGTAAACGCTTTGATGATCCTTGTCTTCTCAAGGATGTGATTGCTGGGATCAGACAGTCAGTTTTCTGGTAAATATGATCCCTCCTAAGCTTGGCAAATGAATCTTATGGGTCTCCTGATTCCCACTCTCCCCAAACCTGCAAGCGTACTGAGTTTGCATTCTGATTTCACCATTAAAAAGCAGAATTAAAAAAAAGCTTTAGAGCCAGAATCAGGATTCTGGATATGGAGCTGGAAGGGACCTCAGAGGCCATCTTATCCAACCTCTTCATTTTATAGTTGAGGAAATTGGGACCCAAAGGGAGTAAGTGATTTGCCCAAGGTCACATGGATATTAAGTGGCAGGGGTGGGCTTTGAACCCTGGTCCTATGACTTCAAGTTGCTATTTCCTCTTATGCCACACAGCTTCTCAGGGACCTTAGAAATCACCTAGTGTATCTCCCCACATGTTACAAAATGAAGAAACCAGCCAGATGACTATGGGCAAATCACTTTCCCCCTCTGAGCCTCAGTTTCCTCATCCATAAAGTGGGCCTGGTCATCAAACAGAATTTTTGTGAAGATCAAGCCAAATGGTATATGTGTAGAAATCATTTGGTAAGCCCTAAAGTAGAATACCAGCATCTCTGCAGCTTTCCAGTTTTCCCTGGACCTTTGGCTGTTGCAGATTGGAAAGAGTTAATCAGGTATGGCCGAAATGTTAAATTTCAAAATGCCAGAATCCCTCTGGCATTTGATCTGTGTTTTGAAAAAATAATAATAATCCTCGGCTTGGTTTCCAATAGACTCCTTGCCAGAACCATAGCTGGGAAATAGTAGAATTTTTTTTAAAAAATAAAATTTTATGGGCAGTTAGTGCCTGGGAATGAATGTTGTCTGGCATCTCAAAAATACATCTATATGTACTGCAGAGCAGCCAAGATGCTAATTCCTTCTCAGCAGTCATATTTCATTAGAAAAAAAAATCTACAACCTTCCATGTCTTTTGGCCTGGGGAAGTACCCGGTTATAACAACTGTGCAGCCTGCACTGTGTGGGGTGAGTTGAAAGGGTGGGAGACCCAGAGGCGCTCAGAGAGACATCGTGTGTCTGATCGTGAGTCTGAGTTTTGGCTCATCATCTTTGGATTCTTATTAGTTGAATCACTTTTTTTTACATGAGAATCTGTTGTTGTAATCTTTTGTTTGATGAGAAAAATTACCTCCCATGATTTAATAATCACCCTGCTGTCTAGGGAGCAGCTCTGGCCAAAGGGAAGCCCCATTACGTGAAAAATTGAGAATTACAGGTTCTGAATTCTTTAGAGAATGCTGTACAACCCTTGG